CTCTCTCTCTCTCTCTCTCTCTCTCTCTCTCCCTCTCTCTCTCTGCTGTGTCATGCTGTAGATCCAGAGAGCAGGGAAATACGAGCAACATGAGTCCTTTTTATGGTTCAGTGCGAGAAGCTGCAACTCCATTTTCAGATAGGAGAGGACACAGTGACAGGTCTGCAAGTCTGTGGCAGCAGTCTGTTAAATTCAGAGGGGCTCCACATCCTGGCAGATGTCATGAATATTTAATGTTCACTCTGAATCGGAAAAAGTCAGGAGGAAAATGGGGATTCGGCAGTCACCCGCAGCTGCATTATACTCTCTGTTTTCGTGGGTTAGCAGAAAAGACATACATATTTTCAGCTGCTTGTTTTCTACATTGTATAGATTAAGATACTTATCCTTACTGATAAACAATCTACAACAGCCTCCACAGGTACAGTTTTGAAGTCATTTTGGCAAAAAATATGCTTATTTATTTCTTACCTCTCGTGTGTACATTACTGGCAGCAGCTTTGCACAGAAGCTACCTGGATTCTTTCCAAAGGTACCAAAATACACCTCCCAGCAACTCCAATGCTCACTGATTAAAACAATATATCTCTGGAGTTCATTCCATACAAAAAACCCCACAAATGTTAAAATGATACTTTGCAGTTTAATAGGAGGTTGTGGGACTGTGTACAAGACTATTTCTTCACGAGGCACAGACTTCTGAGAGTCTCCACCACAACCTCAAGGTGAGGTTTTCAATTAGACTCTCTGGAACTGTCCTGAAATGGTTGAAGTCATATCTTGTCTCATGACAGGAAATACTTTGTCTAGATTGGTAGCTATAAGTCAGAGCAGATGGCCATGACATGCGGAGTCCCACAGGGATCCATTTTGGGACCCCTATTATTTAATCTCTATATACTTCCATTAGGCCAAACCATACAAATTAATAAAGTAGCCTACCATAATTATGCAGGTGACACGCAAGTATATCTCTTTCAACAGGTGAACATCTGTGTCACTGTACTGAGAAAATCACTGAATGGATGCATCAGCATTTTCTTCTCCAACTCAACAGAGATAATCCCTGCATAATTGTCTTTGGGCCATGGAAAGAAAGACAGAGTGTCAGATCTTGTCTTGAGGCTGTCTTTCTAATGACATAGAGTCACGCAAGAAAACTTGGTGTTATCCTATACTCAGATTCAAATTTCCACAGCCACATCAAATCTGTACCATCATCTGCCTACGACCATTTAAAAAACACTGCCAGAGTTAGAGGAATAATATCAAAGCAAGACCTTGAAAAGCTTGCCCACGCCTTTATTTCCAATAGATTAGATTACTGCAATGGTCTGTTCGTAGGCCTTTCAAAACAAGCTGTTCAGAAACTTCAGCTCATACAAAAACTAGGAAATATGACCACATTACACCAGTTCTAAAATCCTTACACTGGCTACCTGTCACTCAGAGAATTTACTTCAAAAATCCTGCTGCTTGTGTATAAATGACTCTGTGGCTCAGTGCCCGAATATATCTCGGACATTCTTGTGACATATGAACCTTCTAGAATACTTAGGACATCTGGGGCCGGCCTACTGACTGTCCCAAGAGTAAAAAAAAACATGGTGAAGTACCGTTTTGTTATCATGCAGCATAAACCTTGTGAAAAATAAATCAGTTTTCAGCTGGCACTGTGCCATAAAAACAGTTGGTTTTTTACCAAGACATGGCTGCATTTTCAGCAGGGATTGTGTCCTCAAAACTGGGTATTTTAAGCCAAAGCATGATGATTTCCTAACCACAACCAAATGGTTTTTGTGGCTAAACCTAACCAGATATTAACTACAGCATTCTTCAATGCTAAAGTTTTAACATATCTGCTACATAATAATGTGCAAATGTAACCTACCCATGGTTTGCAGAAAAGTACAGTCAGTGCCAACATGTTTTGTCATGATCGGGTTGAAATGTCCACAAACAGTCATGCACACGCAGGAAACAAGTAGAAATGCTCCAAATGATTACCATGGCAAATCATTAGCTGCTTCCACCCCCTCAACCCCTCACTTCTTTAATGGCGTATTCAGCAGAACAATGCTGGCACCTGACTGATGAAGCAGTCAGAAGTGCTCTTCAGTCAAAGCCAACATCAGAACAAAACGCTCTCACATGTTCGTGCAACATCTGCTCACAGTGCAGAGCCTGGAGTGTTATGTAGGCTGCAGAAGCTGGATAATGATGCATTAACATAAATCAGCTAATACACAGAAGCATGTTTCCACGATGCTAATGGGAGACAAGTGTACACACCTTCTCACGCTTCCCTGTCATGTTGTCCACCGGCCTTCAGCTCCTTTCTCTTTGGCGATGGTGCAGAGATATTGAGCTATACGGTGTCTTGTATCTAGTTATGACCACTGCTCTCATAAGCACAATGGAGCCGCTTTCTCTCAGTCTGTGTTTCACTCCCTGCTATGTTACCACCTGTCACACCCAACTACAGACAGTCATGCCAGCAAATGTCCAAATCAGAGGACTGCAGAGACGGTCATTTCAGAGTGTCTAGGTGTTTTACATGAAAGCTTCAAGCTTTTAGACTTTTACTGGATTATTATGCAGACATGGCTCATCATTGAACAGCATGGCCAGTATCTGCCTCAGCATCTTCTATTCTTCTCAAATGTAATGATGCTGCTGCTGTTAAGGCCTTTTTAATGATTATTTAATGATTTGCACACATTACTGCAGTTTGTATGAGAAAGCTGTCTTCCTTACACAACCACAGAATGGAGCACTGGTTCAATTTTCTTTATAAGGCCCCAAAGTGCCTTCTTATTTATGTTCTCTACTGACTGCTAAACTTATCCGGAGCTGCAAACTTCGGTCAAGCAGACAAATTATGTAAATCATAATTTTTGCACATCTTGGTGTGAGCTACAGTCACTTTAAACTAGATTAAAATCTTTAAGCATTAAACACTGCCAATTAAGTTTTTGATTAAATGTGCTGTTTACAGTAAGTCTGCCCATCCATCCATGGGGAAGCTGACAGAACTTCACCAAATAATTGTATTAATTACTCGGATGTAGAAAGACAGGGGTATAGGAAAGGAAATCGAAAACAAAAAACAAAACAAAACAGGAAGGATCAAACGTCTTACCAGAAGAGTAGTGAAAGCTACAACCACGTGTTTTTACGAGGGCTATTTAGCCCCCAAATGTGGTTGTTTTTAGGGACTCGCCGCTTTTTTTCTGGCAGCTAATTAGCTCTCAAATGTGTTTCTTTTTTAAGCAACCCATGGCTCGTTGTCCTGCAGCATATTAGCCCCCAAATGTGGGTGTTTTTTAGCATCCTGTCGCCATTTCTCTTGCCTCTTGGATAGTGCCATGAAAAGCATAAACGCAAAGACATCTTTGCGTTTCCAGGTATTGCTTAGATTTGTGTCTTTATTACATGCGAGAAAATAAATGATATGAGAGAAAAAAAAATATTTGAGAGAAAAAGTTTTCACACTGATAGCAAAAAATAATATTTGAGACTTAAAAAAGTTTTGAGAGAAAGTATTTTGTCATAGAATATAAAAAAAAAATCTGAGATTTAAAAAATGATTTCCAAGAAAAAAAACTCTCTCAAAAACTTTTTTTTTACTCTCAAATATTATTTTTTTTTGCTATCAGTGTGAAAACATTTTCTCTCAAGAAATTTGTTTTTTCAAAACAATTTTCTTCTCTCTCTCAAAACCTAAGTCTTTGCTCTCATGTCAGGATTTTGCTTTCACTGCGAAAATAATGTCATCCATCATACATCCACCATGGTCGATTCACTGGCATAGATGCGCTGCGTTATGTGGGAGCAGAGACTGTATGGGTAAGATGATGACCCAGATGATGAATGATTCAGTTGAATTAGACTCCCAAGAGAATCCTCACCCAGCTGTCAATTCGATTAAGACTGGCCAATAGGAACGTGGCCCCACCCATGACATTATTTTCGCAGCAAAAGCAAAATCCTGACACGAGAGCAAAGACTTAGGTTTTGAGAGAGAGAAGAAAAATGTTTTGAGAGAAACAATTTTTTTTTGAGAATAAATGTTTTCACACTGATAGCAAAAAAATTATATTTGAGAGTAAAAAAAAGTTTTTTGAGAGAGAGTTTTTTTTTTCTCAGAAATCATTTTATAAATCCCAAATTTTTTTTATATTCTATGACAAAATACTTTCTCTCAAAACTGTTTTTATTCTCAAATATTATTATTTTTTGCTATCAGTGTGAAAACTTTTTCTCTCAAATATTTTTTTTTCTCTCATATCATTTATTTTCTCACATGTAATAAAGACACAAATCTAACTCCATACAAAACCAGATATTTTGAGCCAAAACACGATCAATTCCTTACCATAACCAAGTGGTTTTTAATGGCTAAACATAACCACACGTTAATCACAGCATTGTAAAGGGTTAAGTTTAAACATATTCGCTACACATCAACGTACAAATGTAATGCATCTGTGGTTTAAACTTAAAGATAAAAAACAACAATTGGCCAGAGCACCTAGTGTAAAAGTCCATAGTAAAGGCAGGCAGTCCAAAAATGCACCGGACACACTCAGACTGTCTTTATTAATACATGTATAACCTGCCCGTTTCGACTAGAGGGTGTTCATCAGGGTGTACACCCTGATCTTTAACTACAGTCAGAGTGCCTCGGATGCATTTTTGGACTGCCTGCCTGTACTTTGGGCTTTTACACTCATGGCCAGTCGTAATTTTTTATCTTTAGGTTTAAGGACTATTTGGCCACTGAATGCACGTTCTGTTACTGAACAAAGTGAATTAATTGTTTGATGAAATTTGCTGTTTCTTTGTTTATGTGAAACTTTTTATGCTGCTGTCTTTGCCAGGATTCCTTTATCAACGAGATTTTAAATCTCAAAGGGAATATTCCTGGTAAAAACAAAGAAAATTTACATAAAAAATAAAACAAGAGTAATCAATTTCAATAAAAATCACTTCCTCACATTAGCGTCTGATATGGACACACGTTTAGACTCCACGGTGGGCCTGCGAGCCACACGAGGGGATATGTGTGTGTATCCTCCTCCAGAACCTGACATGTAAGTGCCTCTCTCCTGCAGCGAAAACTTCCTCCCAGTCAGGTGAGGCCGCAACACATGAATCCTCTTGGCCTGAGCCCCATCCGGCTGAGCACCGCCATTCCTCACGCCGTTGGTAGTTGAGCCATCTGAGTCTTTCGTCGTCATGGCAGCCATGATGTCCGTGAGGTTGCCAGTCTGCTCCTTGGTGTCGGGGTCCAGCCTCTCACGGCCAGAGTCACTGCTCATAGCCATGGCAGGCGGAGAGGTTGGAGCGGCACAGGAGCAGGTGGTAGGGAGAGTATTTGGAAGCACCCACCAGCATCAACGTGACCTGGTCCAGCCTCCGGTCACAACGTTCAGCGTTCCTCCAGAGCTGGAAAGACAGAAAGAGAAAATGTACGCTCAGTTAGCTACAGTAAAAAGAGCTCATCTACAATATCTGGATCAAGAGAAATCATTTTTAACAATCATCTTGGTTTAAAATGCTTGTTACATAAACTGAGCTGGATTCATGTGTGTAACAGTTTACAAGACTACAGCCATGCTTCCATAAATGGAATAAACCAAAAATCCCATAATAGACAGGTTATTTACGTCCATGTAAACGCACTCACAGTATGAGTATTATATTCCATATATTCAATATTATCATATATGCATCATTATCATGATGCCAGTGTTTCATTTTTAAATATTATTATTAAATTACTGTCAATATAGGTACATTCAACACCCATGTTCTGTTTAAGTCGCTGCTTTCCCAGCAATGCTAGCGCCGACTTCAAGCACAACAACAACAATGGCTTCTATATCATCTCTTTACAAGAGTTGGCTTTGAAGCCTACATTGGATCCCAAACACAACTGGTTCAACACATTTGTACTGCTCATCGTGATGGCTACGGACAGCAACTACGTCTGAGAAGAAAGTTAATTACCCAACATTTTTCAATTCTTATTAACACTGAATTAAAGATGTTAACGATGCTCACGATATTTCTGTCCTTAGCCCCTGATGTAGGCCGTTCTTGCTACTAGATCAGCATTGTGTTACTGCCGCTCTGGATCCAGTTTTTCTGGCTGAGAGCCGATTCTTTGGCTGCTGAAACCTGAAGAACTGGTTCGACAAAAGAACCAGATCTGAACAGGCCCTGTTCAGTGGTATGTGTGAGGATACAGGCACAGCTGTGCTTTCATTGACAGTATGTAATAATGGTATATTGTTTACATTCTTAGCTTACATTGTTTGCATGCTAACATTTCCCAATCAGCACTGAGCACAACATGCAGCTGAGAATGACGGGAATTTTGGGGGGGTTATTTGGTCATAAACTCAACAAATTAAGACCTGACAATGGCAATGAATGAAAAGTTAAGGGACCACCACAGTTACAAATTATGCAAAGAAAACCTAAACGCACTAAATTTCATGTTAAACCATCCAATGATTTAAGAAATGGTTTACATCATCTGGGAATGAATGCCATGAAAATTTCATCTTCTTACTGTGAGGCAACAATGCTAACCACTGCACCACCATGCTGCCTAATTTCATGGCAGTCTATCCCAAAGATGTCATCACATTACAGTCTGGACCAAAATGCAGACTGACTGACAATGGCAGCCCCAAAGCTACATCGCTAGCATGGCTAGCAATTACTGCTTTTTTCATAACATACTCCAAAAGATAGTTCAATGGTGTTCATTATGTCTTTAGTTTCTGATAATGACTTTAGTTGTTCTTTTATCTCAGACATGTAAGGATGAACAGGGAAGAGGGGGCATACATGCTCTCCCACGCCTGGAGCAGCATCCTGGAGAGGCGGCAGACAGACAGCAGGAAGCGTGACGGTCACGCCTCCCTAGTACCGGCTGATTGACAGATCAGCTGATAAAGACGCGTCACAACCACCACCAAGTGACACTTCTGAGGAAGGTGGAAGTTTCCATTGAAACATGTCAAGGTATGTAACATCCTAACATTTATGAGATAAAAGAACAACTAAAGTCATTATACTCTAAAAGAATTTTATCAAATAATCCATGTTCTTTTATTTGGTACAATAAAATAAGTTAGTGTAATGGATATTATAACGCTGCACCTGTTAAGGGAGTTTATTTGACTGTGTTAGCTCATTAACATTTGCCTCAACTGGCTCATCATGTTCTTGGTCAACATGTCCACATTATGAGCAGTTTTCAGGAAGTGTCTTGTGTCATCAACAAAATATTGCTAGCACAAAATGTTACTTTATAATATCATATTTCAAATGGTTAACTGTCTGGCCGACTAAAATTAAATTTCCATTGCATGTAAAGTGAAACCTTTAAAATCGCACAGATATCTGGCCAGACGCATTTTGCAGTGAGAGCACCTGTGAGACTGAAGTTTAATCAACCACTCAGATAAAAGAGAAAATGCTGTGTGTGTGTGTGTGTGTGTGTGTGTGTGTGTGTGTGTGTGGTTGGGGGGGGGGTTCAGGTTACTTACAGTAGACATGCGCTCATAAATTGAAATTAATGTCCCCCTGATAAAACCCAACCCAAATGATGCAAAGCTAATTGTGCTTTATGCCTCTGCTCATGGCTCCCTGTATGCCCATGAAATGCTTGTGGGTGGACTGACACACAAAAGAATGCACACATGAAAACGACTGAATGTATTGTGTGCACACAAAATGTTTAAGCTGGATTTGTTTATTGTGCTTCTTCTCTTTCATGTCTAATGAAAATCCAGTCAGCAGCAGATTGCCACAGACAGAAAATATCAAAGCTCTGTAGTACATCTGGCTCAGGTTTTGTTCTGCAGACGGAAGAACACCGATATGCAAAGTGAGCCCATGCCCAGCCACTCAGGGAAAAGGAAAGGCACTCCGACGGGATCCATCTATGTAACAGAAGGAATCAAGAGGGATAACTGTAGTGGTTGTTTTTTCCTGCCAAACACAAAGTCGGTTGTGTGGTTATTAGACACAGAGGTGGTCAGTAAATGGGCCATGTTGCGCTATTCCTGAAGTGTGTCAGGAAGGTAGAGCTTCATCTTCAAAAATAACACTGTGTTCCACTTTGTCCAGGTGGGTCACACTCGTTCATCTGTTTGCACAGCCATGGCTCCATCCCAACGGCAGTGTGTCACATTTTTGGCCATACTAGACTTTTGCCAGAACGCAGAATGTCCATAGAGAATATTTCTGCAAAACACTCACTAAAAACATGAGTCATTTGTTTTCCCGACAGTAATTTCCAGTCTGACAACTACTTATAATGAAAGCATTGATCAGCTGATTGTGCTGGATTCAAAATCACACCAAAAATCAAATTAAGAAAACTGAAATCACAGGCTGATCCAACTTGCGTGAATTGTTATCACAGCAACTCATAATGTGACTCAGCAGTGTGTATGGCCCCCATGTGCCTGGACGCACACCCGACAACGTCTGGGCATGTTCCTGATGAGTTAGGGAATGGTGTCCTGGGGGACCTCCTCCCAGACCTGATCAGGGCATCAGTGAGCTCCTGGACAGTCTGTGGCGGTTGCACCGATACGTTATGTCCCATAGGTGCTCGATTTGATTAAGGTCAAGGGAACGAGAGGGCCAGTCAACAGCATCAGTGCCTTCATCATCCAGGAACAGGCCTACACACTCACTGACCTACCACCAAACCGGTCATGCTGGATGATGTTACAGGCAGCATAACATTCACCACGGCACCTCCAGACTCTTTCACGCCTGTCAGATGTGCTCAGTGTGAACCTGCTCTCATCTGTGAAAGAACAGGGCACCAGTGGCGGCCCTGCCAATTCTGGTGTTCTCTGGCGAATGCCAATTGAGCTGCACGGTGCTGGGCTGTGAGCACAGGTTCCAGGAGAGGATATTGGGCCCTCATGCCATTCTCATCAAGCCTGTTTCTGACAGTGTGGTCAGAAACATGCTCACCAGCAGCCTGCTGGAGGTCATTTTGTAGGGCTCTGGCAGTGCTCCTCCTGTTCCTCCACACACAAAGGAGCAGATACCGGTCCTGCTGCTGGGTTGATGCCCTTCTACGGCCTTGTCCAGCTCTCCTTGTGTAACGGCTGGTCTCCTGGTGTCTTCTCCATGCTCTTGTGACTGTGCTGGGAGACACAGCAAACCTTCTTGTGACTGCACATATGGATGTGCCATCCTGGAGGAGCTGGACTACCTGTGCAACCTGGCGTTGAGAAAATCTCCCTCTTTCTCACAGCCTAATGTTGGCAGGTATGGAAGAGTCAAAACTGTTCTTTGTTTCTGTTGTGTTAACAGTAGTGATGTCAGTTTGATGTGGTTTGGTCAGGGCTATGGAATATTAATCAGCCATGTTTTCTGGTACATAGAATATATTAACACACAAAATCTATCAGATATAAACAATGACATGAAGAATTCTGCATTAAAACCAAACTCCATCAAACAGGAAGATGACCTGCAGGCATTAGAGAGGAGCACAGACGTGTCACCTGTAGGAAACGAGTAAGTGGTAACCTCACATGCTGCTGTTCTGCTGACAAGATCGTTTCATCCATAAATGTTTGATTACAAAAATATCCATGAATTCACAATTCAGACAAGAATGTCTCGTCATGAATGTCACATATTTATCTTTGTGGGTGAGAAAGCACACTGGTTACCAATTACACACACACACACACACACACACAAACACACACACACACACACACACACACACACACACACACACCATCATCATCTGTCCATTTCCATATTTCAGATGACTGTTATTCAATCTATGTAAATTACAAGTGCAGGAAAAAACCTTTTAACTGTGGAATGTATTGTTTGACTCCTGACTCACTGAGCAAAAACAAAAAGGAACTGTCATATTTTGCTAATTCTTATCACAACCAGTGATTATCTGTCTGTTGAAACGGGTCGCCCTCCACTGCAGCGACACTCAGCCCACTGCATGTGTGAGCAGTATCCTGGTGGGAGTGGGTGGCGGAGGAGCAGCAGCACTGGTCTGCCTATTAATTTTAGACTGTTGTTTGTTTAGAGAAGCAGGTGACTAAACTTAACTGATTTCATTCCATTGTTGAAATCCATCACCAGAAAATTCACACACTTAGATCACTCTTATCATTGTCCTATTCATCCACACTAAATGCAGAGTGCTATCTACCAGCAATACTTTAACACTCTATTCATCCATTCAAGCTTCCTTTTCTCATGGTAGTTTATTCTGTGCATATCTTAATTATTTGCCACTGTCAGAAACTGTCAGAAATTAATTACTTCTGAATGGTGTTTGATGTCTTGTCTGCACACTCATACTGCCTTCAAAGGAGGAACACAGACAGATCATTTTGATATTTTACAGAAAGTTTAAATATCAACTT